AAATTCAAACGATACATATTTTTCCTTGTCTTCTTGGTAGCTGTTGGGTTCTTAGCAGGTATGGATTCTGGGTCTGAACTCGTAATGCTTGCAAAAAACGAAACTTTGGGTGGATATAAGACTCCTCCGGCACCGGAGCTGGACCCTGATACAGGAGTCGTGGAAAAAGATCCAACCGGTCGCTATGTACGGGTATGTAATTATTTTGGCTGCATTTATTCATCGGATCAGAACCATTGTTATCTTGTTATCTTCATATTCTAATCGGTACAGTTATAATGTATTAGATTTTGTAAAAGTTTTCCTGGAAATTGAACTCGAAGGGACCTGCCTACTATGTATTATATTCTAAATGAAGTATGAAGTCGTATTGAACCAGTGACTCGAGCCTATGATTGTCTCACTGGAAATAAAGCTAAATAACCCTTGAACAGAAATAAAGAGCAGGACTCTGGTATTGAACTCGAAGGGACCTGCCTACTATGTATTATATTCTCCAATAGCTAATATGAAAAATATGTTTATTTTTGCTATAAAAATTTAAGATTATTGGTCATTTTTCCTTGATGGGTGGTCTTAACGTCAAGTTGCTCAAGTTTTAGGGTAAAGTCTGGACATTTAGATAGGTAACTCGGTCGGTGTTTAGAAATGACATGCAGTGGTTTGTTTCCCTTTTGTTAAACAATTGTGATGTATTGATTGCCTATATTTGATGATAACAATGTGGAATCTGATTTTTCTGCCCTCAGTCATTTATGTTCTTTTCCATTTTTCTTCTTCTGTGCAGTATAATGAAGTCTTGGGCAGGGGTGCCTTTAAGACTGTGTATGGTTCCTATCTTTAATTTCTCCCTAATATAGTAACATCTTCAATAGTATTTCCTTGTCCATTACTTTTCTGGGAAAGTTTTTTAAGATGTGTCTTTTCTTTGGCTCCTTTACATGCTGTTTCAGTTATAGAGCATTTGATGAAGTTGATGGAATAGAAGTTGCTTGGAACCGAGTAAAGATTGATGATGTCTTGCAGTCACCAGAAGATTTGGAAAAAATGTATTCTGAAGTTCATCTCTTAAGATCAGTCAAACATGAAAATGTCATCAAATTCTACACTTCCTGGATAGATGATAAGAAGAAAACAGTTAACATGATTACTGAACTATTCACATCTGGAAGTCTGAGGATGTATGCTTCTTGATTGTTTCTAGATTTATTTTTTCTCTGTTCTTTGATGTGCGGATGACTAATATGTATTTGGGTTATCAGCTATCGTAAGAAGCATAAAAACGTTGATATGAAGGCCATAAAGAACTGGGCAAGACAGATTCTTCGAGGTTTAGTGTATCTCCACAGTCAGACCCCACCAATTATTCATCGAGACTTAAAGTGTGACAATATCTTTGTTAATGGAAATAATGGAGAAGTTAAAATTGGGGACCTTGGGTTGGCAATTGTCATGCAGCAGCCTACTGCTCGGAGTGTTATAGGTAAAGTAATTAATATCATCATTCATCAATTGATCCATTTGATTTCACTGAATAATCAACTATATAAGTATTCCCCTCCTCTTCATTAGGAACTCCTGAATTTATGGCTCCAGAGCTTTATGAAGAGGAATATAATGAACTTGTCGATGTCTATTCTTTTGGATTGTGCATGTTAGAGATGGTCACCTGTGAATATCCATACAATGAGTGCAAAAACCCAGCTCAAATTTATAAGAAGGTTATATCTGTAAGTATATCATGAATCAAAAGCTTATCATTGCTTGGTCAAAGAAAAAACTTATTGTCACATTATCTGTATTTTCTTTGGTGGTTCTGAACTTCCTTTCTCTGAAAATTTATTTAATATTTTTTTATGCATTATTCAGGGTATTAAACCTGCTTCTGTGGCTAAGGTGGGTGATCCACAAATAAAGGAGTTCATCAACAAATGTCTGCTCCCAGCATCTGAGAGATCGACTGCAAAGGAGCTCCTGAATGACCCTTTCCTTCAATTAGAGAGTCCAAAGGAACTTATTCATGATTCATTAAAGCTACCTAACATAATTCCCAAATCAACAAATTTACCTGTATCTGGGCCCTTGTCCATGGACATAGATACTGACAATAAGCAGCTTTCTTTAAGCACACATACTGAAAGTACCAATGGGAGTCCACACTCTCCAGTTTTAGAGCTTCAAAGGACACATAAGAACAATGAATTTGGGTTGAAAGGGAAGAAAAATGATGACAACTCTGTATCATTGACTTTGCGAATTGCTGATTCATGCGGTGAGTATATTTCCTTGAAACATTTAGCTGATTACCAAAATTGTATGTGTTTCTTCCCTTCTTTTTTTTTAATAGGCAAAGAAGTTAGATGTTAGCAATGGCAGTGGTTGATTGTATGCCTTCTTTTGCAGGTCGAGTAAGAAACATACATTTTCTCTTTTACCTTGACACTGATACTGCACTATCAGTGGCAGCTGAGATGGTTGAACAACTAGCGTTGGCAGAGCATGATGTGGCCTTCATAGCTGAGTTAATTGATTACTTGATAATGCATCTTTTACCTGGTTGGAAGCCCTCTGATTATTCCTTGGGTGAAGCAATTAGCCCCACTGCTGAGTGCCCACCATTTGTAAACTGCCAGAGTTTTTCGGCAAACGAATGGGATTCAGTGCTAGATGTGGTTAAGGAAGATGTTACCTCTGGACTAGATACAAACATTAAAGATGGTGGGGTGCATACGCAAAATGATTCTCACGGTGGTAACCATTCAGCTCCAAGTTTGACCAATATGGACAATCATGAGTCTCAAGCATCAGTTTTTTCAGATATCTTGGTTGAGGATGCTTCCTCAAAAAACCATAAGGTATGTGAACCCACTTATTGCAATACTGATGGAAGTTGCAAATGCTTAAGTGGATATAATTCTGAACTAGAACTTGGGTATTCATATTTTGATGAGTTCAACTCAAGAAGAAATTACAGCAATGCTGAAAGATTCATGCTGTTAAATGAATTTGCTAAGAATACAGAGGTATCGTTCCCCAATTCGAATAAGGTATCAAATATTATGAGCTTGAACAGCAGCTGCTTATCTCTGTCCCTGATGGACAGAGATCTGGATGATGAGTTAAAGCTAGAACTTGATGGGATTGAGGCACAATACCAGCATTGGTTTCAGGAGCTCTCTAGGATGAGGGAGGAGGCACTGGAGACGACCAAAAAGAGATGGATAGCAAAGAAGAAATTGGCTGTTCAATGACACATCATTTCTTCCTACTGTTTATTTGATAGCTGGCTATGATTTTCATTTTTCCTTTTAAGGTTTTCCCTAAATATCACCTGAAGCCTCCTTTAGCGGATGCGGCACCCCCTTTTTTTTTTTTTAATCTCTGGAAGTCGTGATCCTTTTGAATTGAATTTTGTGTGTTGGGAACTAATTCTTTTGTTTACCTTTCCTTGGGGTACTTTTGTATATAATTTTCTGTAGTTGCAGACATTCCATTCTTATCGAGCATTTGTGATTCTAGTTGCTTGCTGACTATTAAGGAAAGCAAAAGAAAGGAACTTTCCAGTTTCAAAGAAATCTCAACATATATGATATATCTGTTAAATGAAAACATTTAACCACGAGAAAAACATGGGCATCTGCTATTATTGACATGCTTTGCAAAAGAGAAGCGACCCTCTTCTGTTTTCTGGCTGTCTCCCAAAATCATTTCTTATTGGGTTCAAATCCTTAGCTCTTCCTCCTTTTTGTTTTCATAATGCCAGTTCCTGATTTTGCAATACTTTTGTTAAAACCCTTATTAAGGCAAAATTCATTTATTCTGCATTAACTGTTAACAATTGTTAAGGCAAAATTCATTTCAAAAACTCTTCTATGAATAATCTCGTTTTGTTTTAAGTCCTCACTTTGTTATGGTTTTGGCATGTGATTTGGATTAATGAATTTGGTATTTTGCTACTGGTTTTGCAACAAGATTAAAACCAATGTGACTACGAAAAACGATAATTGCTTGAATAAAAGATTAATGAAAAAGAAAGAGAAGTTATAAAGCAACAAAACTAGTTCATCACAATGTGTATTTTAGATGAACAGGCCAACTCATCAACACATTGAAGGAGATGAAATTTGCATGTGTCATCACATGATTCCAATTAGTGCAACATTTGTGCGGTAGATGACCTTAGTTGGTACTAAATTAATTTTGAGAGGATTATTTGTGATGAAAATTAATGAATAGGCTTGATTAAAACAAACAACCTACTTTAAGGGCCAATACAAGTGGTGTTATTATTATTATTATTATTTTATCTTGAGAAGGTTACCTTCTTAAATTTATTATCCCAATTTATCTTATATAATATACAATTTAAATTTAAAATTTTTGTTTTTATTTATAAAAAAATTATTACTAATTTACTTAAATTGTAACAAGTGTTATTATTTTTATTTTAATAACATAAAACAAAATAAAAATCATATTTTTACTGTATAAATTATATTAATTTACTTAACAAAAATCATTAAATAGGAGGAGATCCCATTATGAGGGCTTGTTACTGATCAACGCTCCTATTGTGTAGTCTAGTGTACTCTACCCTTAGCAGTTTTTCCAAACAAAATTTCCAAGAAATACAGTTCCAATTCAGTCATAATCAAAACCCATTTTTTCTTGATTTCACATTTAGTGTTTGGTTCCTTCATTCAATCATCCATTCAATCACATAATATTATTCTCAATTATATGTTCATATTCCAAACTTGCCTTCTTTAAACAGAATCCAGAAAGTTCTAAATGCAAAGGAGCATGGATTCTGAAGATTCTTCAAAGGCACATATGGCGACGCGGCGGCCGTATTGCTGCTACAAGTGTGGAAACATCGTGTCCTGTCATCGATATTGTTTCTAAAGATTTTCAGGTGAACTAATTTATAATGATTTTTTTGAAGAATTCCGATGATTTTTTATTGGTCCCTCAACTTTAGTGAGTTGCACATTTTTGATCCCTTAACAATTTTTTGTATTTTTTTGATCTCTCAACTATACGAAATGTACTCCGTTAGTCTTTTTGTTAATTTTGATCGTTAACTTGCTTACGTGGCATTTTTTATAATTTTTTTGATGACGTGGCAAAAATAAATTGAAAACATATTAGACGTGGAATTTTTTTTATGCCAACTCACCTTATTCCTATTTATATTTTTAAAAAATAAAATAAAATAATTCGTTCTTTTTTTCCTTTCTCTTTTTCTCTTTTTTTCTTCCTCTTCTTTCTTCTTCTTCTTCCTCTTCTTCCTCGGGTTATTGAACCCAGCATTGGGTTCGTTGGAACCCAGAACCCAGCTCCA